CTTCTTCTCAGAAGTCTACTGTATGTGGAAGCCAACCATGCATAGATCATAAAAGAGCAAAATTTACAAAGGATCACCCCATCCCGCACGCAACTTTCTCGCTTGCTACCAGCTTAGCTAAGGACCATTTTCCTAGCGAACTGCTTTTTAGATTCAGCACAGACTATGGCACAGCACTCAAAGGCATTAGGCTTGGCTCAGCAGGAGGAGACGCTCTTTTGATGACTTGCTAAATGGCACTAAACTTTGTGCAAGACCAATGTGAAGTCTGTGTGAATATTGTACATGCAAAAGGCCTTGAATGTCTGGCAAAGAATTAAAATTCAAAGTAAAAGCAAACCTATTGTTTGGAGGATGGGTGGACAGAGTAGCTGGGAAGCAGAAGTGCAAATATGAGAAGGAAACAATGTGAAAAAAAGACCATGAAAAATATAATTTGTTGGATAGTTGTAAGTAGCTTACTTAAATGTTTTAGAACTGTGCTAAAGACATCTTTAAGATTCTTTTGTGGAAAAAATAGTAGTTTACTTTATAGTAAAGCATTTTATATTAATTGTAGCACATTTTTTTAGTTATACATAGAATGGAGATGTGTATAAAAAAACAAATGAAAAAAAACCTGCCAAACTCGTTTCTATTATTTGTACAGCAAGAAATGGACAATTTATATCCATGTTATATGGCATTATTATATTTTTTTCAGCCATATGTCCATCTATTTAAAATTGCTGACAAGGATTTTTGTCTATTTATGAAAAAATTAGAAAGCAGAATTACAGTTTATGAAAAGTGCGTTTTCCATGGTTTTTTTTTTTAATTATTATTTTTTATTTTCTTTGTGGTGCTGTTTTTACAGTACCTGCACATTTTGACTCACAATGCTTATCTTACCTTTCTTTATAATAAAACATAAGAAAAGTAGAATCAAAGGCGTCACATTCTTTTGTGGGCATACATTACTCTGTGCAGCCATTTCTCACCAATGAAAGTACTGTGACATGTGCTTCCAGCAGAAGGGACCTATATTCTTTGCAGCAGTTCAATGGTTATGGGAGTGTTTGTGCACACATGGAGTTTCTTTGCTCATAAAGCATATTTTCTTCACTTTAATGGAGGATTTAGAACACACTGAGGGGATGCATTTACGGAACTGCTCTTTGTTTCAAAATACACAGGGGAACCTGCTTCAACACAAACACCAAAGAGCCCAGAGCATCTTAAATGCTAATACATTTACTCTAGCATAAGTTTTCATGGACTAGAATCTGTCCACCGAGATGTATCTGCTTAATCAGGAATTCTTGTGTGTGTCCTGCGTAAGGCTCTGGACAGTAACTATAGGCTTTAATGAAGAGTTAAGCACCCTTTAATGCATGAACTTTGGCTAAGTTATGATCGCCATTTTAATTAGTTGATATACATAACTCTTGGACCCGTGATACACTTCTGCAAGAATACTCTCCAGCACTGAAGCTCTTAGCTTTTCTGAAAGAGGTGATGGAATCAGGAAACCTAGTACTTTTGTTGTGTGCGTGTGTGTGTATAATTTTTATTAAGAATTTATACATAAATAAAAAGCAAATGTAAAGAAAAATATGAAGAAAAAAGAGAAAGATAATGAAAAAAAAGTGCAAAAGGCAAAGCAAAATAAGAAAGAAAAATGGTTAAAGAAACAAAAAAATGTGATTTCTGACCTTCTTTTCCACAGTTATAAACAAACTCATTATCCCTCCTCCCTCTTGGTATTACAAAAATCTCTTCAAACCTTTACAGTGGTACCTCGGGTTACGAATTTAATCCGTTCCGTGACTCTGGTTGCAACCCGAT